AAATTTACACAGTGTTGTATGTCAATTATTTTTTTTTTTTTTTTTTTTTTGCTGTTGTTGTTCAATTATATCTCAAAATAAATAAAGATGAAAGGGCAGGAGCACGTCCCTGTCCTGGGAAAGATAGTGGGAGGTCCTTGATGAGCAGAGTAAATTCCTCCATCCCCAGGACCACCCTGATACCCGATCTCCTTCTCTAAGCTAGTGCTCAGTATCTCTGGCTTTATTTGGTATACAAATCCAGGTATAAAATCTCTAGTTAGAATTAGGTTTTTCTGACAGCAAACCTATAAAGTGGTTTTCAACAGAAGTTTCTGATATAAAATAGTGGGGGCCACTCTATTCCATGGAGTCCTCGGCGGCCCTGTCCACTTTCCTAGTCTACCATCTCTTACTCTTGGTCCAAGATAAAGCTCCAGCTGTCGTATCGGAGGGAAGGCAGCGAGTTGAGGGACTTTTTACCTAATGTTCTCTGTATGTGAAGTTGAGAAGGAGTGTGGAGGTGGGGCAGGGCACTTAAGAAACTAGTGAAGATTTAAAATAGCCATCGTAGGGGAAAGAAGAGTCGTTTGGTGATGCAGAAGGAATATAGATGGAGGGCCGATTGTCCAGGAAGATTGAGGGAGGCCCTAATTCACTCTGCGGTCTCCCACCACACCCAGGCGCCCGCTCTGCCCCCCAACAGACCGTCCCAAACAAGGAAAAGCAGCTGCGCCTAGAATGTGTTGTTCCTCTTCTTCGACAAGTCCAATCAAGTCGGTGACATTTTCTTACCTGTCCTGAGCACAGATAGGTAAGAATAAAATGTCGAGAAAATGTCAGGAAGACCTTCCCTGATCAGGGATCCCTGATGGCTACAGCGAAAGAAACCAGGTAGGCTTGTGGGTTCCAGAGAAGAGAAACTCAGGTCAATTTTTTTTTTCTCTTTAAATATGTTTTTATTGATTTGAGAGGAAAGGAGAGGGAGAGAGAGAAACACCAATGATGAGAGAATCATTGATCAGCTGCCTCCTGCACGCCCCTTTGTGGATTGAGCTGGAAACCCAGGCATGTGGCCTGGCAACGGAACCGTGACCTCCTGGTTCATAGGTTGATGCTTGGGCCATCTTTTTAAAAAAAGGGGGAGGGGGAGGGACGATGGGTATCCTCAAATGACAACTTTATACTAGACTACATCAGGGCTATCAAGCAGCCTAGTGAAGTAGGGGCCCTTATGATTGGTATCTTAACCCACTATCAGCCAGTCGGGGGACAGAAAACACAGTAGTTTAAATGTGAAGTTTGATATAATTACTAACCAGTAACAGGCAATTAATTACTAAGGGCAAGGAGGTGGCTTAATAATACAGGAACAGTGGCTACAGGAGCAGCCACTACCTCTAGGCAGAGGACCCAAGGAACAAGTTTGGAAGCGGTTCCCTTGCAAGACGTTGAGACTCTGACAGAGAGGGCGTGGCCGTGGCCCACTCTGCTGAGATACTAAATCTGGGGCTGGAGAGGAAGGGGTGTCAACAAAACTAGTTAGGAAGCTAGCCACTGGGGTGCCATGGAGACTTAGTAGGAGGCTGGCTGCTGAAGCACCAGCAGGACTTGCTGGGAAACACCCTCCCACGAGGTGCCATTGGACATGCCAATGGCCTTATACACTGCGGAAGGAAAGAACCCGCCAGAACCAGCAAGCCAAGTTCCTTTCCTCTGCAGCATCCTCCACAGACCAGTTTAATGTTGCATCAGCAGGCAAAAGATATTCAAGGCTCAGCTCCAGTATCACAACGTAGAGCAATGAAGGGCAGACTTGGGAGCGGAGGCCAGCTGCTTACCTTGAGCAAGTGTAACCCACGTTTGCAGGTCTGAGCCAAACCGACCAGGGCCACAGGTTTTTAAAGATCAGTAAACAGCCCAAAAGCCCAAAGGCAGTTTATAGTCCTTTTGAAATTTTGTACAAATTTTGAGTCCTTTTATTTTACACAGTTTCTACTTATTGACTTTATAGAGAAAGGGACAGAAACATTGTTGTCCCACTTACTTAGGCATTCTTTGGTTGCTTTTTGTATGTGCTGCCTAGAGAGAGGGTCAAACCCGCAACCTTGGCCTATTAGGAAGACAGTTGCTCTAACCAGCTGAGCTATCCGACCAGGGCAAGTCCTTTTGTTTTTCTAGACATGATCTGTAGCTTTTAGACCCCTAAAAAATGCCCATAACTCAAAGGTTAAGAACTAACCTAAGAGATTAATTGGGCAGCATTTATATGGAAATTTTTTTAAGAATATGAAACCATTTCAGTACTCTGAGAACAAAAATTGGAGGCTACTAGTTATATTAAGCTCTATCAAAAACTTTTCTCATGTTGTAAGAAATAATCCCTAATATATTTAGCATTAACTAGTATTATTACATGTTCTATCAAAATGTTCCTCAAAAGCAAACCTAACTTAAAATATCAGAGGAAATCAGATGCAGCTTGTGATAGAACTTTCACCTCCATTTGAGGTAACTTTTTTCCACATTTTGCTTAAAATATACCATTAACATTTTTGGTAGAACTACATTCAAAGGAGCAGCATCATTAATTTAGGTACACCAGAAATATTTCCCACGCATGATGTATCTACTATTTTTCATTACTCAAGAAGTTTTCTAATTTCCATGTGTCCAGTGTCAATTCACTTGATCTCAATTTGACAGAATCTTCTCTTTAAAAAAAAAAAGCATAGCATTTTCATAGAGAAATTCCTTCATTTAATGATTTTTTCTGGAGTTAGGTAGGAATATACTTGTTTGCTCCGTTCAACATTTTTGCCAGGTGGCTCCTGAGTGCCCATCAGCTGGCCAACATAAACTGAGATCAGAGAAATGTTACTATGATATGATTTCAGGAACACTCACGTTAGTCTGGGCACTGACTGAACAAATCACTTGGAGACTGTTTCTCTGCTCTAAAAAGAATTAAATAATAGAAGTTCCTTTAAGTCCGATTATGTAATCCAAGTGCAAAGTACCTAAATAAGCACCTTCGATGTGAAACCGAGTAATCACTCAATCCAAAGAACCACCCAGGAACACAACACCTGAGAACAAAGGAAACTACCACTGAGGATGACTGAGGATTGACGTAGGTCTGATTCTAGCTTACATGCTTTAAAATTCACTGTGACATTTTACCAATTTGCACAAAAATACTTTTAAAACATATTAACACATAGGGGAAAAGTCAACACCCAGGATAAAGGATTTAATCCAGTATTTATTCCACACTCATGATCCTTCTCTGTAATCAGAATACAAGTCATAAGAACAATCTATCAAATAATTTGCCGATAATCTTAAATAATGCAGCACAGCATTACTTCTAATACTTCTCTGTCCTAGGTTAAGTTTAAAAACTCAAACATCGATCTTCATTATCAATAAAAAAGTTTTGAATTTTAAAAAAAGGACACTATATCAAGCTGTTTTATAATTTAAGTATTTCCCACTTATAAAAATGCTTTGGAAGCTTGAGGCTTGAATCTATTTCTCTGTTCACCTGCCCCACCCTCTCCCAATTTCATGTTAGTATATGGTTGCTGCAAGAATGCTGGGCTTTAAACATTTTTTCCTTTAATATAGTACTTTAAAATCTGAGAAATTAAAAAAAAAAAATACACGTCATGTATCTTTTCAAATAAAAAAACTAAGTGAATAAATTTTAGGCATACTAACAGTGTCCCTTTGAGGTAGAATGCTAAAAGGACTTTTGATCAAATCATAGCCTAATTTAAACCTCTGTATCAGAAACTACTCATAAATTCTCTCTAAAGTTAACTGTGGAGAATATTAAGTGTAACATATTAACAAGTCTTCCAAGATAATATACAGTGGACAAGAATGGTAATCCTACAACTGCTGCCTTCATGTACATTGAAAGCACATAATTTTCCTATAATAAACGTCCAAGATCCATTTTCAAAGTCTTTAGCATTCTATTACGAAAAGCACAGCCATGCTAACTTCAGTACACAAACCATAATCCCACACCTACTACGAAACAAAAATAGAATTAGTGGCAGTTTATTGCCTTATACAAATTTAACCAACATGGCAACCAT